CCAGCCCAGGCTAAATTCCAGATAGCTGTTTAACTGAATGGTTTTTGAAGCCACTCTTCAATTTGTAACATTTTAGAAACTTCTCAGTGACTTTGAAGACATATTTCATGTAAAAGAACAAACACGAACTGCAGAGGGTAACATGCTTGATTTAATAAGAGTATAACCTGCTACAAGTCTTATTAGCGGAGCAGCTGCCCTTTAGCAGAGCTGCTTAATATATCTGAAATTGAACAAGTCATGAATGCAAAATTAAGTTTCACCCTATGCTCCCATTTAGTATTTTTTAGGCACAGTAAATCATTTCTTTATTCAAGAGGCCACATGGTTTAAAACCTCTGGAGATCCTTAGTTTTATATATGACATAAGATTAGTGGGTGGATAATTTCTGGAGCAGGATTTTAAAAAACAAAACTATTGAAAGAAATTAGACCACGGCAATGAGAAGTGCGCTCTTTTGTCTTCTCAAACCCACAAATCACCATGGCTGCTTGTAAATTATTCAGGAGGTTCAAGCCTCAGCAGAAACCTGAGCATAATTAAAATGCAATAAAATAACATTAGGGAGGAAAGGCTGTTAGAGGGTGATGTAACTGGCTCTTCCAGTGGCTGAGGTTCACAAATAAGATGGACTGTCCTCTGCGCCTGCAGGTGCATTTTTCAACCAGAATCTTGCACAGTTATAAGAGAATAATTAAAGTGCATTAATTAGTGCAAATTCACCTTTATCACTATACTATCATGCATGTGTTGGTATTCTGTAATGTTACTTTTAAGCAGAGTGGCAGAAGCAAATTTCACATGGTGTGTGAGCGCCATCTGCTGTCCACATTCTTTACTAAACCTTCAGACTTCAGCTGAGCAGAACTGCTTGAACTTATTTAATCATTGTTAATACCATTAAATTCCAGTAAATTCCGGATGAATTCCAGTCATTTTCTAAATCTGTATCATATACATGCCTCTTGTAAGCATTAAAATGTAGGCAGGTAGATAAAATTTAAAATGAACTCTAAATGAGCAGCTCATATGTCCAAGTAAAGACACCAGAAGGTTTACATTACTGCTGTGATATGCATGCTCTGATAGTAGCAGTTGTTAAGGAGTAAAAGGATACAGTAGTCTCTTTCTAATTGGTCGTTTATCATCTTCTCCTCAGTGGTTCTTCTACAAGTTTGACACAAATGGGGCAACATGATCTTCACCGTGCACTTAACCTGTAAATTATTGATTCTGATCAAAGTTGAATGAATCTGTCAGCTGCCTCTGGATGCATTGCTGTTGTCGTGCCTCATTTGCCACTTGAGTATAATTACAAACTGTACATCTGAAAGTGTGCCATGTCTTATAGCATGTAGATAACAGGCTATCAGTTAATTTCATCAGCTGGTGACAGGAGATGGGTGTTTCCACTTATCTGTGAAAAATGACACCATAGGTAATAAAGGATGAGACTTAGAAAACTATGGCTTTTGTTTATATTTCAAAATTTAAAAATAGACTGAAAGAAGTGCGCAGAACCTTTTTTAATGTCACATAGTTAAAAGAAAACTTTCCACATTTTCATTATGCATCTACAAATGTCAGTTTATTGTTCTGAGTGATTGATAGAGCAAGGCAAACTAAATAAAAAAAAATAGCATGCACTTTATTTCTTTTTGCATATATAAAACAACAACAATCTGAAATATGCGCTTAGAACATCATCAGAACACCTGTGTGTAATTTTATCAAGGTCGTTTGGCCTCTGATGTTTCTTTTAGAGAGCACTGATGAATAAACGGCATCATCAAGACCACAAAACACACCAAACAGGTCAGAGTAGTGAAAGGTTTGAAATATGGTTTGGCTACAAAGCATTTCCATACATTTTTAGCATCTCACTGAGCACCATTTAATCCATAAACTATGACAAATAAAAGTATGGAACAATGCCAAACCACCCAAAAAGTCAACTAACAGGGCCAAGAAGGAGCAAATTGATCAGATGATCTTTATTGTCATTATGTAACCATTATAGAATATTGCTGAGGCACTGCTATAAACCGCACATGTAATACACTGACATACATTTGATATGATTATATAAAAAAGGCCCAACCATCCTTTAAAGAGACTTAAACATGAAAACATATGCACATGGACCAAGGCATTTATTTACATGAAGTGCAGCTTATGCTTGAATAATCTATGAAATGGGCTGGTATTTTTTGTATATTCAGGGTTGTTTAGCGTCTGCTGTCAGCAGGACAATTGCATGTTTAGTATACCACAGATAGAGGAAACATTAAACATGTGAAAAAATGTGCTCTTGTTCCAGTAAATGTAAAATTTAGCTTTTTGCTTTACATGTGCAGAGGGCAATAACCCTGCTTTCACATATCAGCAGGTAATTTGCATAATATGGCGGTGGCAGCATGCATGATGTGTGGATGCTTGACTTCACCAGGGACAGAAAAGCTGGTAAGGGTTTATTGAAAGGGAGTGGAGATAATACAGCTACAATTTTAAATAAAAACCAGCCAGAGGCTAGAAAAGATAGCAGGTAAAATCGTTTTAAACCTAAAGACAGACCCACAATGAAATTAGATCATTTTATATACATCTTCAGATTGGCCCAGTCAAAGTCCAAATCTATACGGTAAGGGTTAGGTTAGTATCTGAGTTTGATATTATTTTTCCACAATAGAATGGACTAATGTTTTAGTGTAGATGTGAAAAACTCTTATAGACTGGCTGCAGCAGTATGAGCAAAGTTGGGTTCTGGCAGTTAATAATTGTTGGGGCTGAAAACACATTAATATCAAGATTTCTTGGTTGTTGTTTTTTTGTTGGGCCACTGTATAAAACCTCAAATTCAACCCTATTCCTGACAATTTGAATTGAAAAAGCTTCCTGTATGGGAAGCAAAATGTCTTCGAACTTGGAAATAAAATCCAATGAATTGTTTTAATTTTCTTTTTTTTGAATGACTATGACCTGGATGACTGAGAACCTTCACCAGCATCTCAGACAAAGATAAAGCAGACATAAAGCAAATTAACTTTGGATTTATCCAATAAAAAAAAAATGATGTAATTTTCTTTATATCGTATTTTTGCAAAACAGCTAAAATTACTCTGAAGTAAAAAGATAAATAGAGTTAAGACACCCTCTGCGAAGGTATAACAAATAACAAGAGAATTTAAACAAATCAAATATATGTAAAGGTAACTAGTTCATATACTGGTCGTTTTCTTTTATACTCTCTTATGAAATAACATTTAGTACAAGTGGGTTTTTTCTTTTTAAAGGTGACATCATATTTGGCAGCAAGGGAATTTATTTATTTATTTTTTTTTTATATAGTTACCAGTTTTCCTACTTTTTAGGAAGAAGTCTCTTCCTAAAAAGTATTATAATTGTTTTTTTATTGCCGTGTTTTGTTTACAGAATATCTATTTAGAACCATTCCTGACAAAATAACCTTAATTCAATGAGATATTTTCCTGAAAGATATTGGGTTAGGAAGATAGGTCTGTAGCTTCCAAGTGTACTGTAGCTCCCTCTAAAGACCATTACGAACACTGCACTATCACAAACTTAAACATACATTTTTTGGAATCTGAAAGCAGCTTGAAATGTCATGGAGTTACTTATAAATTCAAGGCCACATTCATCCATCTAGATTAAATCCTGCATCAGAGAACCAAAAATTTCTCTGATCAGGTAATGACATCTGTTTTTATTTTGCAGCTTCTAGCTTTGCCCTAAGAGGAACTCAGACTTCTGCAAAGCGGCACTCTGGCGTTGACATTTAGAACTACTTAGAAACTATGTCCAACACCATACCAGGGTCCTGGATGTTGCAAGCACTTTGTGTCTGTTCTCTGCACTCAGGGCCCCACACAGCTCGGGCTACTAGCCCCAGGGCCTGTCCAAGCCACAGCAATACTTGGAAAAGTTCTAGCTCCCTCACAGCCTCCAGGGGAGGTGGGGGTAAACCCAGATTTCTTAGAGACCAGGGCTCACTTTGAGCGAATAGGAGGATGAGAGAGAGCCCTCTGGGAACCAACCCTTGGAAATAAGTACTTCCACAGGGAAATTCAACCAAAAACATCTGAACTTATACACCCTGAGCTGGGCTAAAGTGTTTCCAGCTCTCTGGGAGGATGTTTTTGCCACCAATTTAGCAAACTTGGTGACCCTGGTATGGCGTTCAGGGCCCCAAACAGCTAGGTGTACAAGCCAACAGGGCCTGTCCAAGTCGCAGCAATACTTGGGAAAATTCTAGCTCCATCACAGCCTCCAGGGTTGGCCTTTTTTTTTCATTTCTGTGCCTTTTTCTGTCATTCTTTATCCCTGCTGGGGATAAAGCACCCTAACCCTTAAGGGGTGTTGGTGCCTATCTCCAGCTGTCTATGGGCGAGAGGCGGGGGTAAACCCTGGAGTGGTCGCTGTTCCATTGCAGGACAACACAGAAACGAATAGGACAAACAACCATTCACATGCACAATCCAACCTAAGGAGAAATTAGAGAAGAGAATTAACCTAACAGTCATGATTTTGGACTGTGAAAGGAAGCCGGAGTACCCGGAGAGAACCTACGCATGCTCACAGAGAATGTACAAACTCCATGCAGAAAGACCCCAGGCCGGAAAGCGAGCCCAGAACCTTCTTGCTGCAAGAAGGTTAGTGCTACAAACTGAGCAAATGTCTACTTTTGTAGTAGACATTTGACCCTTGTATTCTCAACACTGATCTGTTTGCTTTGTTTAAAAAAAATATATATATTGCATTTTCTTCTTAACAAGAAAAAAGTCAAAGTGGGAAAATTGACTAAAAATATATCTTTCCTTGTTTTTATTTATTTATTTTTTATGGTCGCTTTGTATGCTCTGAATCAGTTTTTACTATTTGGGGGATTATTTTACAATTATTATACATTATTATTGTAAAAATGTGTTTTTGGCCCAGTAGGAACCTTTGTTTTCTGTTGTGGTTCTCGGGGATATATTTTTTTACGGCGCAACAACCTGGACTTCAAACAGGTTGAATGTTTTGGTTTAGCCTACAGTACTAGCTATTTTAATAAAAACATTTAGGCTATTGAAAGAGTTTAACAGCGATTTAAGTGTAGCGTACTGGAATATTTTCTTTAAAACAAACAGTGACTCGCTGTTTGACGGTCACTGTAGTTGATAAGGATGCTTTTCGGTAAGGAAGCTAACATTAGCTGGTCGGCTAACGCGGCTTCGGTAACAAATATGACGATAATTGTGACGCTAAAGATGATGAGGAGGAGCAGTGTATAGAAAACACCGAGCGGACATTGGATCGCGCTGATTTCCTGCTTGTCAATCATTGTTCTGTAGGGGTCTCCTGTCTTTGTGTCTGGTTAGCCACTGAACGCACCAGATAAAGGCAAAACATCCGGCTGTTTTTAATCTTTGGAGGTTGGTATGCTGTACAGTTGAATTATTTAACATTATAGACAATGACAATATAGAATTTAGTGTTTCAGATTCACCTTATCTAATTTACTCTGTCAAAAACAGCTACTATAATGTCGTTCTGCTCACTGATAAGTTATCATATGTTATATTGTTAAGCAGCGAGTTGCTCCTCCGTGACTTTCTTCCAATGGGGGAGGAAAAGCCGGACACCCTGGACTTTGTGAAGGATTTCCAGGAGTATCTCAGCCAGCAGACTCAACATGTCAACATGATATCAGGCTCTGTTAGTGGCGTTAAAGAGGTGGACGAGCTGCCAGCAGGTAACATGTTTCCCATGTGTATTGTTTTCTTCTGTAGCTTGATAGATGTTCCCAGATGTGAGAGGAATGTTCTTGGTAGTGTTGCTTTATAAATGTTTAATGCTTACTGCACAATTGGGCCCGTTATTAAAGCAATTTACTATATTATTTCATGTTGTTTTTTTGCCAGTTATGTGTCTTGGATTCTGTTTCTATATTTATAATGTACTCCAGTGTGTACATGCAGTAATTTTCCTCTAAAAGCCTTTCTATCTATCTATTTTACAGCATCAAACTTCAAAGTTTGGATTTAATGTTGAAAACCCTCACACCTTTGTTCATCGTTGTGAATTAAAATAATAAAGTATTTTATGATACATTTAAATCTTTTAGTTATAATCTTTATGATCCCCCTAAAAAACCCAGTGTAACCAGTTGCCTTTAGATTTTGAATAGTCCACCTGCTTATAGTTGGTGAACAAGCAACATAATGAAGCACAAAAATGAACTCAAATATAGCGGAGTCATTGAAAGGTTTAAAGCAGGTTTAGCTTGTTAAAGCCAATCTCCAAACTTTGACATCTTAGAGCAGACATGGATCATACTACGGCCCCCGGGCCGTATACGGCCCGTTAGACTTTTTAATCCGGCCCGCCGAACTTGTCCAAATTACCCTATTTTCACGACTGTAAGGCGCACATAAACGTCTTTTTTTTTTTTTTTTTTTCTCAAAATGTGCGGTGCGCCCTATGTGTGTTGTAACTGCGACTTTTGAGACCACCATGCACCATGCAGAACTCCTCATCTCCTCATTGAGGAGATGATGAAAGCGTGGCTGAGGGAGGTGAATGTAAGGAGACCAGGTGTTTTTTCCCACTCATCACCATCTCTGGTAATCTGTGACTCCATGCGTGCCCATCTCACAGCTGATGTGAAAAACATGGTGAAACAAATTAACGCTGTGCTCGCTGTTATTCAACCGCTCGACACCGGTGCGCTTCGGGAGCGCGCCGCCAACGCGCTGCTGCTGCTCGAGATGGAAAAATTGAAGTTTTGCTGCTGGAAGCGCCGCATCAACCAATCAGAGAAGCTGATCTGGGAGCTGACAGCGAGGCAGGTATATGAGGAGACCAGGTGGTTTTTTCCACGCATCACCATCGCTGTTAATCTGTGACTGAATGAACGCTGTGCTTGCCGTTATCCCGGGAGGTCTGACAAAGGAACTTCAACCGCTCGACATCGGTGTGAAGAGGTCTTGTGCGAAATTCTGTTTCCCCGTGAAAATCTGTTCCCCCTGTGTCGGGAGCGCGCATTGCAGCCAGAGAGGCGGATCTGACCATTCCCAAGGCGCTCCTGATCATTTTTCGGTAAAAACAGCTCATATAATCATCTCAACTTTGTAACATCCATTTTAATCGGTTGCTCTTTTTAAGAAATTGTAAAATAAATACATTAACGAGGCCCTCTTACGCTGTTTTGTGTTTTTTTAAACGCCAAGAGAATCGGTATTTCTCCAACTTTTGTCCCTTCAGCCTGACAGAAATAAACGTCAGTCACCGAACACAACAACACGTAGTGTATTTTTCATTTTTCATTGCTGATATAAGAGGATGGAAACTGGCTGATAGCAGGGCACACAAATTAAGACATCCTGCGAAGATGAGAGAAGAATTTCTGGTTAATCACCTTCTAATGTAAAATATGACAGATTACTGGATTAAGGACATTTATAGTATACCACATCACACATCAATTTTAGATAAATTGGAAACAGTTGCTCTTTATTTCCCAAAGATATGGGAGGAGGAGAGGAGAGAATGGATGTTTCAGCTTACTGAAATATTCTGTTCCCCTTCCATAACAGGGGAAGAAATTAATTTACCTGCAAGTCTTTAACTGTGCTTATTCCTCTCACCACCGAGAACAAATCCTGTGGATTTGGTCATATTTACTCTTTATTTGCAAAAATTAAAGGGGGGGAACCATATATTTCAGCTGCCTGAAATAATCTGTTCCCCCTCCATAGGGGGCCTCTGGGCCGGGTCTCCTCCGGGTTCCACCCAAGCGGCTGGCAGGTGTTTTTCATCTAAATAATCTAAATCTTGCTGCTATATTTGATGTGATCAGTGGGAATAAAGTAGTTTTAATATGTTTTTAAGTGAGAAAGTCCACCTGAAAACGTAATAATTGCAGTCAGTTCATCCAGATTATCATCATGCCTATACTATATCTGTCGGAGGCGCTCAGACCCCCACATACCAGCGGTACACCGACAGTAGGAACCCCTTCAACAGCAGCCTCTAGGCTGGGTAGCCTCCGGGTATACCGCGGCTGCTGGCAGGTGTTTTTCATCTAAATAATTTAAACTGCAGGCACCAGGATACCGGCAATAAAAGCGAACATATTCCGTCGGCAGGTTTCAGGATTTTAAGTTAATTTAGGAGTCATCACAGCGCTGTGTCATCAGCGACGTGTCTGTCTCAAGGCCAGCACGTAGGTTTGATTAATACTTTGTAATAAATAAATGAATAAAGCACAATCATACTCAGTTTTGCTCCCGCTCTATTTTTAAATACGCAGTAGAGGTATCTAAAGGTAGTAGAGGACATGTACCTGTATATAAGAAAACCCTATAGTCCGGTGCGCCTTATGTGTGTGTTAAATACAGAAATGGCACACATAACTGAGACTGCGCCTTTTAGTACGGTGCGCCTTATGGTCGTGAAAATTGTCTGGTTTTTTTATACATTTCAATCCCCAGGTTTAATTAATGACATTGCTTGTCCAAATGCTCCTGGCCCGGCCCTTCTGTCAAATTTTAGAACCCATTCTGGCCCGCAAGTCAAAAAGTTTGCCCACCCCTGTCTTAGAGACAAATGGTCAACCCTTCATTTTTAAAATGAAAAGGATTTGGCACAGCTCTAGAGAAAGCGGATAGTGGATTAAACAATGAAGCAACAAGCAGGACAATTTTCAGTTTGCTGCAAAGACTCTCAACACAATTTGGATAACCTGTTGAAAGGACAACCATTAGTTATTCATTCACCAAATTTGAAAGAAAGCCAAAATAAATCCCTATTACAGATAGTGTCAGAAATAAGGGAGAGCAAACAAAGGAAGGTGAGAAAAACATACAAATGTTGGTCAACATGGTAAAAAACTAACACTGCACATCATCTTGAAGACACTTTATTCTGGTGCTGAAACATGTCTTAAAAACTGCCTCTTGAAAATTAGTGTAGAGAATAAATCTCAAAGGTAGCCACTGTTTTTTTTATTTTAAAATGATTGTTAATAAGAAATCCCTTTCTGATTCATTTTCTCTCATTTTATAAACCTTTTAATCAGCTCGTTTACCTATATTTTTTAAATATAAGAGAAGCTGCAGCAGTATTAATGAATACAAAACATTTATTAAATATAATTTGTTTTTGTTTTTTTTTACTTCATTTGGGTTCTTTGTGACAATTCGTCAACAGAATGCAGCCAGAATGGGCTGGACCATCCTTCAGTGGACATGTCGCTGGAAGAAAGCTCTGGCATCTTAGTTGATGGCTTCGAGAGGACCTATGATGGCAAGCTGAAGTGCCGCTACTGCAACTACGCCACACGAGGGACAGCTCGACTCATTGAACACATCCGCATTCACACAGGTGCATTTTTAGTATTGATCCAAACAAATTGTCGTGTTTTGCAAGCAGTTATTTTGTTTTTCTGGCATTTCATTTTTTGTCTGTCTTTACTTACCTTTCTATGTATAATTGTAGTGCGCGCTAACAAGATCTTCTTTGTTTGGTCACTTTCCTTCAAACAAATAGGAGAGAAGCCTCACCGCTGCCACCTGTGCCCATTTGCATCAGCCTATGAGCGCCACTTGGAAGCTCACATGCGGTCACACACAGGTGAGAAGCCTTACAAATGTGAGCTCTGCTCGTTCCGCTGCAGCGATCGCAGCAACCTGTCACATCATCGACGCAGACGCCACAAACTCCTGCCGATGAAAGGTGCTCGGTCCCTTTCTCATAAGAAGATGCTGAGTGTTCTGCAGAAGAAGGCCAGCTCTCTTGGCTACGGTCGACGGCTCCTCATCAACTTCAGCCCCCCTTCAATGGTGGTGCACAAAGCAGACGGTGGGAATGACTTCTCCCATGAGCTTCCCCACTTGCTTCAAGAAACCTTCGAGAACCAGAGTGAAGCGATCGGGGATGGGCTCTCCTCTAATCCAAATCACACTCACCACGAGATGGTTATGGATAACCCTCTGAACCAACTGTCCACCCTGGCAGGCCAGTTAGCCAGCCTTCCCTCAGAATCCCAGGCCCAGACTCAGCCCCCTATGTCTCCAGGAGCAGAGTCCATAGTGGATGAAAAACCCTTCCTCATCCAGCAGCCGCACCCCGCCACAGCTCCTGTTGCCGTCACAGCTAGCATTGCTCACGCTGCCTCTTCTTCCCCCATCACCCTAGAGCCCAGGGCCCCTCCACACAGTAACTGCAGTCCTGCAGGTGGTCCGTGTAGCGAGCACAGCGGGCGTACCAGCACTCCAAGCATATCCAACAGCCAACCCAGTACCCCGGCCCCAGGCCAGTCTGCCCCAATGCAGGACCCCCACACGCTTCATCACTGCCAACACTGTGACATCTACTTCCCTGACAACATCCTATACACCATCCACATGGGTTGCCATGGCTATGAAAACCCATTCCAGTGCAACATCTGTGGCCATAAGTGCAAGAGCAAGTATGACTTTGCCTGTCACTTTGCCCGCGGGCAGCACAAGTGATCGCTAAGAACATTTTAGCACATGGCTTGTTTTGACCCAATACAAGTTTTATTTTTTTGTTCTTTAACTTGGCCTGTATGTAGCATAGTCTTTAAAATTTTACTTGCACACATCAGTGCTAACAGTCAGAGTTATTTTTCCTTTTATACTTATCGAAGTGCCCATTCTAGTATATTACAGCTGCGTCATCAGTGCTTTTGACATCTTGAGAATCTGTTTGCAGTGATGGTGAATGTCACATTTATCTAGATCTATGTCACTTGATTACTATTTATTTAGATATGCACAAAATTTTGCTAAACAAATTTCCACATTTGAAATGAAGTTTAGTGAGTGGCTATTTACTAAATACCTATTCAGTTTCCTCTGTTGGATTTGAAGCATATCTATTTTTAAACGTAAACACTAAAATATATAACGGTATAATGATGAAGTCAGATGTGTTTGCTGGAGCAATACGATTTTTAAATTTGGTCATAGCATCTTTTCGCTATAGAAAAACACTGTCAGGGGTTTACATGCACTCAGCTTTGCTATGAATGAAACATTTGTGAAGCTGGTTGTTTTCTGGCTTATATTCGTCTTTTAAGCAACGCCAATGAATTGCCAAGGTTGAAGTCTTAGCTTTGGTACCTCTTCCAGAAGAGGTTCTGGTGTGCTTCACAGATTCCAGACTCTATGGATATTTTATACTGTTTGAACACTCAATTGTGTCCATGTTTCAATTTTCTGAGCCGAAAGCCAAAGGCTAAAACCTGCTATGAACTTGAAGTTGGAAAATAAAGGAAGCTTACCAAGGCCATAAAGTGAAAGACCTCTGACCAAGAATCACTACTGATTTCAGCATTAACATTTCAGTTAAATTGAAATAAAATTTGAAGACTCCTATGTAGTAAAGTCAGAGGCCTAAGAAAATGGGCCTAGTTAGCCACAATGTTGGGAACTATATCTTGGGCCATGGCCAGGCTTAAACAACATGGGCCTGTTCTATGGATGGTGGTATGGGGGGTTTGTAGAAAGCAAATTAATGAAGGAAGAATAACTTTTAATAGTTTAATGCCACAGCTAGATGGTTTAATGTTGGACACAACAGTTTTAAACCGATTTGATTTTTGCCTCAGTTCATTGAATGTAAAATTTTGACTTAAAACTGAATTAAAAAAAAATGGTCCAATGTTCTTTTTTTTACATCCGTTACATTACCAAAAAAAAAAAAGTTATTGACGCACCTGAAGCTACTTCTGTTTTTTTCTCAGATATTATAGTTGGCCTTACAGTAGTTGAAATTATTTCTGTGATTGGTGCATTATTACCATTTCTTTGCAGTGCCTAACCGTGTCACCCTTTTTGTGTCACAGTTTTAGATGACTGTTATTTTAGAATGATATTTCCTCTTCCTATAGCAGGTAGAGCCATAACCTTTCCGAATAGGGGTTTGGTTGTTACAGTTTGATTATTGTGATTGTATTTTCAACATTTTATTGGCCAAATTTCTGCTCCATAAATGCTGCTAACTAATGTTAGAGCCAATGCCAGCTTTTCTGTAACAGAAAATGGCATTGGTGGTGGAACCTGGCCAAAGGACAGTAAAGATGGTTTTTGGTCAGCTTTATAGTGTTGTTTTAAGGTTCCTCCATCATGATGAACTGGTTAACTTGTTTCTTGTAAATCATCTGTTCAGAGTTGTGTGATTTTCTACCTACATTATGTCATTGTCTCACTTTTTGACTTTGTATGAAGTCATTTTGTAACCAGTGTCTGTGTGTTTTGTAAAATAAATCAGATGTGTCTCAGGATTCCCCTGTAGCACCGTGGACACCATATTCTAGCCTTTTCTAGTTCTTAATGAAAATTTCCATCAAAAACGAAGATCACAGTGCTCTTATATTATATATTAAGTATTCTGAATGGTTGGATAGATGTTCATTTTAAAGCTATAAAGCAGCTATTTCAGCAAAAGGGTCCTCTGTCTTTGGTACTATTGTCTGTTGCTTATCAACACCTGTAGAGGGCGTAATTGCTGTTTTTAGGCACTTCCCTGTTTATTGTACTTTAATCTAATGAAGACATTCTGTATGAGCCGCCTTATGTTCTCTGTGTGTTTTAAATTCATGAATGTTAAAAAACCTCTGGCTGTCATCATTTCTCTGAGCTGAAGTGGCAGAAGACTTTATTGTGACATGGATTAATAATTTATAAGTAAAGTGTTTTCTAATTGACTTTCACTATGCCTCAAGTTTTGTCTGTTTTTCTTTTTTTCTTCAAAGCAATGGGGCTGCAATGAAGGGATCACATCCGGGAACATTTACTATAGTTCTGGAAGTGGGAATCAAAATCAGTGGATCAGGTTGTGAGCAGATAGATATTATGGACTCTGCCTTGGCTCAAGGCACAGTTATAGTGAAGAGTATTCAGTTTAGCTCTTGTCATGGAATCTCATAGCTGATTATTCAATACACAGTTTGGTTTAGAAACATCTTAGGATTTTTTTTTAGAATCGACAGGAGACAGATGTCTTGGTTTCTTCTGTTGGAAATGTTACTGTAAAAAAAAGACAGCCTAAAAAAGGAAATGGGGTGATAATGTTTGACTTTTGTTCTCTTTTTTTTTTTTTTTTTTTTTGAGAAATATATCAACCTCATTTTGGTACGACCCAGCAAGGAATGCCTACACACTGTCTTTTGAAAATGCATTTAATCAGGTAATGAGACAGGAAAGTTAAAGTGAGTAGGATTTAACATTTTGTTTTTAAAGTAATAGAAAGATGATTGGAGAAGGTTTCTGCAGCATTAAGTTAAGCCTCATTCTGCTTTTCAGGGCCTTCCTTCTCTTTCTCAGGGTCTGCCAAAAAAGAAAAATACTTACATCAATGTTTTCTTAAAATCAATGCTTCCAGTCATATTTAGAGCAGTGTTTGACAGATATTCAAATAAACACTGACCTTTGAGCTGGATAGGACCGACAACCAGAGTTTGGCTCTCATGCTCAGATTCCAACTCCCTGGCTACACGTCTACTGCATCCACGGCGGCAACGGGAATTGAAATCCGAAGCAGGGCAGATCACAACTTTGCACTGGAGGTACACAGAATCTGTTCCTCGCAGGAACTGGAAGGCCCTGAATGAAAAGCGGGCTCTGTACTGGGAGCCGGAAGTGATTGGCTGGTAGGTTTCATCAGAAGTGCACCTGAGAGAGTGTTAGGGGAAACAATTTTTGACAAATTAAAACGAGCACAAAAAGATTACTTGGTGTGTTATTTTTTCTGGGCTTACCCATCTCGAACTAAATAATATGGTCTATACTCAAAGTTGAAAGGTGATGGGGAGGCCACACAGGTGTCCAGGAAGAGAACAAGGCTACTGTCAGGCCTTGTCAAGTACACTTGAACATACAAGTACTGGTTGAGATCTACTAGATATGGGAACTCAGTCACCTTAATGTAAGAAAATAAAAGAAAAGAAAATATTACCAAAATTTCCAACACTATTTTTTCTCATGCATTTCTGCACCACCCAAACCCAAAATACCTGATAATAGAAGCTGCTGGATGTGTAGAAAGCCATTGTTGTATTGAATCGACCTGAACCAATGATGCTGCTGTTCCCCCCATGTTCCACAACAAAATAAATCTGGGACACAGAATCTGACTCCATCAGACAGGAGACATTCATCTTTAGGTAAGACTGACGTGTAATTTCTCCATGGGTGGAGGGCCATGCACGGAGGAAGTTGGAGTACACAATTCGGCCATTGACAAACTGTTGATAAGGATGGAATTTAGGAATCAATCATTTAGATCTTTAAACTTACACAATTTGAAAACAAAATAGTGGGGAATGTTCAAATGCAATCCATGTGTTAAACAATTGTTTACCTGTTTAATGTTTCCACAAGTGTTGAGGGGAAAATTAAAAACCAAGTTATCACTGGAAATCTGTGGCCTGCAGTATGGATCATTAAGGTAGAGATTGTTGCTGTCATATCCCAGAGAGTTCAGGTAAGCTCTATTGATGACAATGTTCATGTTGCCAGAGGAGCAGTCAACACTACCTGAAAGAGGATTAGGTACAATATTTAGTGAAAAAGATCAATATTTTTAAAAGTTTTCATGCCAGGGTGCTCTATAAATTGCCAGGTCACATTCATAAACTTCAACATATATATTTATGACACACTAGAGCTGTCCAAACCTTTTCCTACACAGTCCCAAACTTTCAATCTGAAGTACTTGTGGGTTACAAAAGTTTTTTTCATTTAAACTGTTCAAAATAAAATACAGTTTGTATTTTTTTTGGTGTACTTTCCCAGAAACACGAACAGTAATTTGTCGCTTTCTTCAAAGATGTAGTTGTATGTAGTTTAAAAGATGGATTCGCCAGCAGCTCAAGTCTGCTTTTGAAAAATAGTCATGTAATTTTTTTCTCAGAGACCCTGTTGTGGAGAGTTTACAGTTTTCCACAAGCCAGGAAGTGGATGCTCAAATATGTGGAAGAAGGTGTTCTGTCTAACTCAGGTCTACAAGGGCAGGTGTCCTGCAACTTTTGCATGTATCCCATTCCCTGCATACCTTTTTAAAACGACTGCACTCCTTCAATGGCGTAAAGCTTATTCTTCTCAAACTTAACAGAGCTATGCTAATGGGCTGATATTTGAGTCAGTTGAGTTGAAGCACAGACGCATCTAAATTTTACAGCAAACAGAACCTTGAGGACTGGCATTCAGACCATTGATTTAGATGAATGTCTATATACGTATGTTTTAGAATGACCCAGTTTAAGTAAAATATTTAATCCAATAAGGAAACTGTAGCAAGACATAAAAATGTATGTTTATTCACACACACACACCAAACTCGGAGAATATTTCTGTTATTTTTATAAGTAAAGAAAACACGCCTTTTTGAAACAATAAAATTCTCCATGAGTGCTTTTTGTTTTGTGAGTCGAAAAACCTCCTCCTAAGACTACTCTGGCAATTTTTGATTTTTTTTGGGAAACTATTTTGATGCAAGAGTAGCCGTAACAATGGTAATCCCATAAGACATGCAGTTGAAACTGTTGTGAAAGGTAGCCCTATAAATATCAACCTCAAGGTGGGAGTTTACATGATCTTGATAACAACTGGTTTGATAACAAACACTTTAATTCCCAGTAACTAAACTTTGACATTCAGAATCTCCCAGCTGACCACTAAAATCCCAACCAAAGGGATAACTATAAATATTGGAACTTTAGTTTTAAAATAGTTGATGTTTTAAGAGAAAAGTTCACAGAATTGAGATGTGAACCCTGAATTTTAGGCCAAAATGTATGAATAGTTAAATTTTTGGTTCAAATAGAACCTAAAACTAAATGTGAGATTGACACTACATCCCATGTACCTGAGCTGGATTTCAGAGAGCTCGTAAACTCAGCCCTGAATCCTCGGCCGACAATAGACCCATCTGTCCGGAAGAGCACAGTCATATAGTTGGAGGTGGAGTGGAAAGAGCTCACACTGTTGTTGCACACTCTCCCCAAGTATGGTGAATAAACAGACGGCCCATCATAGAGTGCTATATAGTCACAGCTGCAACAGTTCTCCAACCTTTTCGGCAAAATGAGGATACAAATTAATTGGATTTAAATACTCTTTTAAAAAGATTTGTACAATTGTAAAATAATATTCAGGTATTTGGTAAAGTAATATTTATATTCTCCATTCTTATAATACGGCTTGATTTGGCTGTTTTTACTTACTCCAGGTAAGAGAAGTGCAGGAAGACCCTTTGGTCGTATGCAGCTCTGAGCTGCCACACACAGTAGGAGTTGTCACTGTAGTAGCCAGGATGGTTGGGGCTTGTAAAGGTGCCAGAGCCAAAAAGGGAACCTCCACACGACCCTGATGAAAAAGATATCAATATCTTCTTGCTAGATAAAATTATTTTATCATGATACTCAAATTTGCCCCAAAAAATCAAAATAAAAACTCCTACCAGAGGGTGTTGTTCCGATTGAACAGTATGCTGTTTAAAAAACAAATATTTGTTTTTTTGTTTTTTCAGAATTACTTGGTCAAAAATGACAATGATGATTGTTTTAAGCTGGTGCAAGATGTAATGCTTACAGTTGTAGTCATGACAGCAGTTCCCATAGTATGGACATGAATAGTGGCAGGAGCAGTTTGTAGCATAATAACCACAATTGTAACGACAAGAAGAATAGGCTGTGAGAAATGAGAGGGTAGAGAAGATAGGTAAACTCATAAATTCATCTGTTTTGGCTATGTTTAAGTTTCAAAGTTTAAATAGACTCAATTCTTCAATAATTCCTAAAACATTAACAAATTACTGCACTAAAGCAAAGCTTTAAGAGCGAATTCATTTGTAAAATCTAAATTCATCATCATCAAATTCTTTCTTCTGCTGCTTCTGCCTGAATTTGTTTGTAGAAAGTATAAATTTTCTTATTCTTCAATAACAAGAATCCATCCATCCATCCATCCATCCATCCATCCATCCATCCATCCATCCATCCATCCATCCATCCATCCATCCATCCATCCATCCATCCATCTTCCTCCGCTTATCCGGGGTCAGGTCGCGGGGGCAGCAGCTTAAGAAGGGAGACCCAGACTTCCCTCTCCCCAGCCACTTCTTCTAGCCCCTTTAGGAGGAACCCCAAGGCGTTCACAGGCCAGCCGAGAAACATAGTCTCTCTAGCGTGTCCTGGGTCTTCCCCGGGGCCTCCCCCCTGTGGGACGTGCCCGGAACACCTCACCAGGGTGGCATCCAGGAGCCATCCTAACCAGCTGCCTGAGCCACTTCAACTGGCTCCTCTCGACGTGGAGGAGCTGCGGCTCTACTCCGAGTCCCTCCTGGATGACCGAGCTTCTCACCCTATCTCTAAGGGAGAGCCCAGCCACCCTACGGAGGAAACCCATTTCTGCCGCTTGTATCCGTGATCTCGTTCTTTCGGTCATGACCCAGAGTTCATGGCCATAGATGAGGGTGGGAACGTAGATCGACCGGTAAATCGAGAGCTTCCCTTTTTTACTCAGTTCTCTCTTCACCACGACAGACCGGTACAGCGCCCGCTTCATGACAGATGCTGCGCCAATCAGCCTGTCGATCTCCCGCTCCCTTCGTCCCTCATTGGTGAACAAGATCCCGAGATACTTAAACTCCTCCACTTGGGGCAGGACACCCCCCCTAATCCGGAGAAGGCACTCAACTCTTTTCCGGCTCAAGACCATGGCCTCAGATTTGGAGGCACTGATTCCCATCCCGGCCGCTTCACACTCGCCTGCGAACAGATCCAGCGAGAGCTGCAGATCATGACCTGATGAAGCCAATAGGACTACATCATCTGCAAAAAGATGTAGTCCCATCCCCTCAACATCTTGGCTGCGCCTAGAAATTCTGTCCATGAAGGTAATGAACAGAATCTGTGAAAAAGGGCGGCCCTGGCGGAGTCCAACTCTCACCGGAAACAAGCCCGACTTACTGCCGGCAATGAGGACCAGACTCTGACATGCATACAGGTACCTGACAGCCCGTATCAAAGGGCCCGGCACCCCGTTCTCCCGGAGAACCCCCCACAGGGCCCCCCGAGGGACACGGTCGAACGCCTTCTACAAGTCCACAAAGCACATGTAGACTGGTTGGAGGAACTCCCATGCACCCTCCAGGACACTGCTGAGGGTGTAGAGCTGGTCCAGCGTTCCACGACCAGGATGAAAACCACACTGCTCTTCCTGAATCCGAGGCTCGACCAACACACATTGCACCCAGCCCCTATGGCCCCTCCCACGGGTGGTAACCCATTTTAGGGGGGACCCATGTTTCCTCTTCAGGCTGAGCCTGGGACCCATGGGTAAAAGCCCGGCCACCAGGCGCCCGCATTCGTGCCCCCCCTCCGGGCCTGGCGAGGGAATGCTGAATCCAAATATTGTACTCATCATAGGGTCTTCGGGCTGCGCTTTGTCTGGTTCCTCACCTAGGACCTTTCTGCCTTGGGAGGCCCTACCAGGGGCATAAAGCCCCAGACAGAATAGCTCCTTGGATCATTGGGACACCCAAACCTCTCCACCACGATAAGGTGGCAGCCCAAGGAGAGGCAATAACAAGAAGATAATTCTATTTTTCAATTCTTTCCATCATCTTCCTGTTAGATCCAGAATAGATCAAGAAATTCCAAAAATGGCGCTGTAAAGCCTTGACAATTTAGCCAGTGTATGCCAACGTATGAAAAATTTGGCAAATTTGGGGGTTCACATGAGGAAACCGTCAGTACGTATGTTTAAATACACTTTTTGCTTGTTGATAACATAAAAAAAAAAAAACTTCTACAAAAATCATATAGAGCTGCTTTCTCTAGTAAAATCTAGATTCATGCTTAACTTTTCTGTTTTTAGTTAACAATATTGACAAAATATAAATCATCACGATCCAGAATAATGCCGAATTCATTTTAAGATAAGGCCATTATAACTTTTTTAACATCCGTTTTTCAGGTAGCTTAACTTATCCTGAGCTATCTCTAAAGTTATGTTGCTAAAGGCTTTGGGTACTGGAAGACATATGTGTTATCTGCCATTATTTTTATGCTCCTGTTAACTTTATGTTCTCTTTTATCTTTCGTTTTCAATCTTTACTTTTTACCCAGTTGTTGAATAAACTGAACTTGACTATATTGTTTTAAATTGAGATTAAACTGTATGTATTTAATTGAATGAATCTGACTATATGTCCTTCTTTGGTGTAGCAGTCATACCTGGTGATGTGGTCAATCCTGGATAAGTGGTGGTTCCTGGTTGTTGGCTTGTGCTATTACAGTAAGCTGAAAGATAAATAAGGGTGACAGATGACTCAAATTTTTTGTGCTGCAATGTTTTTTTTTTCGGGGGGGGGAGGGTTTCAGTGTTTGTGGCCATGATGTTTAATGCAGCGACAGCTCGGGTTGGCTCATTCGAATCCTGTTGGCTCCACCTGGAAGGATGGGTATGAGGGTTGTCAGGGCCTGGGGTTGGTACGATGCCAACAGCAGGAGGATAAAGCAAAAATATGGCTTTATAGTAAAAGCCATTATGATCTCTTGCAAAAGTAAATTGGTTGGTGTTAGGAATCCAGTTTGTGTGGGTTGGTTTTGTCTTTCTCTCTCCACCACCACCGGGTGGTGCCCTGTTCCTCATTGGGCCTCCCTGCACACCTGCGGCTCATTGGATCATTACTGGAGGAGTATTTGAGCAGTGGGCTGTCATTACCTCGATGCCAGAGTGTTTGCCAGTTTTGGGTACTCTAGCCAAGCTGAGATTGGTAGAGTCTAACTGAAGCTTTGTTTCTCTGAGTCAAATCTTGTTTTTGTCTTTGCTCTTTGACAGGAAGCCTTTCCTGTGTAACTGGATAACCTGGACCTTCTCCCCCTGGAAGGATTACTGAGTACACACTGAGCAGGGGTACACCTCCACATGATCCGTTCAAGTCCTCTTTGGAAAACCAAGTGACAGTCCGCTCCTTTACTCCTCTGGGTCCAACATTAGTCAACCTATCCGCTCTCCAATGAGTTCCCTCTCCTCAGGATTAAATACCCACAAACTGGATTCAAGGATTAACAAGAGCCACCTCAAACGTGAGTTACTCTCCAGCTATATTCAAGCCTCAGTCAATTTTCCTACGGTCCCTGAACTGATCATTGTGACCTCTCCTTCAGACTTTCCGGTTCCGGTTCACCAGTCCACTGAGTTCATTCAATAAACCTTTTCAACTTTTAACCTTGGTCTCTAAGTGGTTCTATGCATGTGGGTCAGATCGCTTAAACCAATTATGACAGATGGCTCCTCTTTGGCACAAAGAAAATAATTCTGATTGTAAAACCACTGGACAATATATTTACAGAAAAACAGAAAGTAATTTTTAACATTAAACACTGCTTACCTGTGTAATCTGCACAGCAGGTCCCTCTGTATTTACATCCTGAGTCACAAGAGCAGTTTCCAGCCTGGTAACCACAGTTGTACTGGCAGGAGCTTTCAGCTTCAAATGAAAATACATAACATTTTGTTGAATTGGCAACATCTGCCATTTTTCAAAGATTGACCAAAGCTACTGTATCTCACCAACAATTCTGTAGCTTGCATAGAATCCGCCTCGGCTCACACTGCCATCAGTTCTGAAGTGCACAGTTACATAGTGGCCAGTGGAGTGATAGACAGTTTGATTTGTGTGGCAGAGTTGTAACACCCTTCTGTTGTTGGTATTGTAGCCATCATAAACGTCAACCCAATCATAACCACACTCAGTGCTGAAACAAAACGACAATAAAGAAAATTAAAAGTACAGAAAATCCAGTAGAAGAAGCTTTAAATCTTGCATATTCAGAACATTCATTTACCTTAGATTAGAAATCTCCAAACGAATAAACTGATGACCAGGTCTAATGTACCACGTACAATCTAGGTTGTCTGGGTAGTTGTTTGGATAGTTGGGGCTTTCAAAAGTGCCGTGGCTGCCATACAGGAACCCACCACAAGTTACTAATGAGTACAACGAAAAAGAAACACTTTGGAAACCTACACAACAAAGGCATTTTCAACAAGGCAAGGTAACTTTTTACAATAAATATTTAACTAAACTTGACTTTTCTATTTTATAGCCAGGATTGAAATAGATCTTTTTAATTTACTTGAAATCAGTCTGTAACGGTAGAAGAGTGTGGTTAAAAAAATAAAAAATAATTTTTTTTTTTTTTTGACGATTACATTAGAGGACTATGCTTTTATTTTGAAAGGGGTCCGTAAAACCGGAAGTTAGCTTAACACACAACGGTCCGTAAAACCGGAAGTTAGCAAGAAAACGTTGGAAGAGAAACTGATTAAAGGACCACGGAAAGTCATATAATTGTAAAGTTTAAAGCATCAGTCAATTGAGGAACAAGGTTTGTGTTAATTAGAAAATGTTTAATACAGAAAAGTTACCAATGTAATGAGCTAAGCATGGTGTATTAAATTGTAATTGTAAATTGTTTATTTTTGTAGCTCTTAAGTTGGTTGGAGGCACGGATGGCTCAAATAAACCTTTCAACCACCAGTTCTGGCCTTTTTTAATTGCACTGGATGCTACAGTAAGAGCTTCACCGCCGCCACAGCTGCACAATGTGGTCTCAAGGTGTCAACGGCAGTACGGCAGTACCCACAACGTCCAGCAGATGGCAGAAGTTGGTCAGAAAATAAATGGATCAAAGAAAACAGCTCGAAATGGAAAGTTTACAGGCAGCAACAGTAAGTCAAACAGACATAAATGAACAAATTTCGAGTTTACGACAAGAAATTCAAGATTTAAAGCACTCATTTCAAAATGAAGGTGAGGACAGACAAGACATTAAAGATTCAATCAAATGCAAAGAACAAATGTTAAGTGAGTTGCAAGATAAAGGTCAAAGCATGTCAGATTTACCAAGACGTTCAGAAAGAGTTAAAGTTCAAACTGAGAAGATGATGACATATCAAAAGGAAGAAATAAGTAAAAAGGAAAAGAGACTAATACATTTGTATGAAAAATGGAAAATGCAAGTTCGCGAAACAAGAGAAAGCTTAAAGTCAGATATCACTGAAAAGGAGATGGCTGAACTTGCAGACTTGAAAGAACAAAAGAGAGATGATGTCCTAAAGCTCTACTCTGAAATAAGAAACCAAATGGCACCATCATCTGACATAAGGAGAAGGACCGATGCTTGTGATGCAGTAACTCACGACATGGTAAAAATAATTCTGGAAAGAATAAGTGGTGTTGATGGAGATTTTGATGCAGAGCGTGAAAGAATTTGCTTACGTGGAGTTTTAGAGCATGACTACGCCTTGTCCATATACGGGTCAACCGCAGCATCAAATCACAGCCAACAGTCCTCAGCTTCACACCTTACTGCAAAAAGAGCCGATGCAGCGGCAGAACTAGCAGCTAAAATGGCTGAGTTTGAGATTGAACAAGAGGAGCAAAGACAACGAGAAAAAATAAGAGCTCTAGAGGAGGAGCACAAAAAACAAATGGCAGCTCAAACATCTGAGATGGAACGTTTAAAGGCGCAGAAGGAAGTGAAAGCAACTCGAGCCAGGTTTGAAGCATATGACCGAGAGTTAGCACGTATAAGTGATGCGCAGTCAATAAAAGGTGAACAGGTGAGCCAAAGCTTCACACCCCAACAGATCATACCAACACTCTCCTTCATGCCTGAGCAAATAGCATCCTCTAGTGTTAGTCAACTAGCACAAGCAGTTCAAGACAGTATAAAAATGAACAAACTTCCCACACCAGAACCAACAGTGTTTAGTGGTGAACCAATTAGCTTTATTGAATGGAAATCCACATTTACGTCACTCATTGAACAAAAGAGCATCTCAGCAGCAGATAAACTGTACTACCTGAAACGATATGTGACTGGCCCAGCCCGCAAATGTCTTGAAGGAACTTTCTTTAGAAACGATGAAGAAGCATATAAGGATGCTTGGGACAAACTAAACCGAAGATACGGCCAGCCATTTGTAATACAGAAGGCCTTTAGAGAAAAGTTATCTAACTGGCCAAAAGTGCAGCCCAGAGATGCTGAAGGACTAAGGACATTCGCAGATTTCATAAATGCATGCATGCTCGCGATGCCACACGTAAAAGGCCTACAAATACTTGACGACTGCGAAGAAAATCAAAAACTGTTGCACAAGCTACCAGACTGGATAAATGCCAGATGGAACAGACAAGTTACAAAGACATTAATGGAAGGTGGTGAGTTTCCAAGCTTCAGTGATTTTGCCTCCTTCCTCTCCTTAGAAGCAGAAGTCGCTTGTAACCCAGTCACCTCCATTCATGCACTCCACTACACTGAAACAAACAGTGATAAAAGAAACACAAAGGACATCAAAAGGAACAAGGCAAGTGTATTAAACACAAACACAATTGAACAAAGTGACAAACAGACAACAACAAAAACAGCTAATGGCTCTCCATGCATGTTGTGCCAGGGTGCACACCAGCTCCAAAAGTGCCCAGACGTCTTGAAGATGTCTCTAGAAAATAAAAAGAAACATGTGAAAGATAATAAACTTTGTTACGGCTGCTTAAAGCAAGGACACAGTGCTAAGGACTGCAGACGCCGCCACACTTGCGAAACCTGCTCAAAGAGACACCCAACCTGTCTTCACGATGATAACTATAGTAACAGTCGACAAAGAGAAACACGAGTGAGTACAGACAATGCCTCTCACGGGCACCAGGCTGAAACAGCAACAGCCACATCACTTAATGTTGCCAGATCTGACCAGACAATCAGCACTTCGATGATTGTTCCAGTGTGGCTGTCGACGGCTAACAATCCGGACAAAGAAAAACTGGTCTATGCGTTATTAGACACACAGAGTGACACTGTCTTCATTGATCAGGATGTTGCACATGAATTACAAGCAAATGTTTGTCCAGTAAAACTGAAACTGACTACCATGATGGATAAAAATGCAGTTGTAATCAGTGAAAGGGTGTCCGATCTCATAGTAAGAGGTTATGACTCAGACACAGTCATAAAGCTCCCCACTGCATACACTAGGGACTACATACCTGCAAACAGAGAGCACATTCCAACATGTGACACGGCCAAAAAGTGGAGTCATTTGCTGCCTATTGTAGATGAGGTTCCTCCACTCCTAAGCTGTGAAGTAAGTCTTCTCATAGGTTATACTTGTCCTAGAGCTCTCGCACCCAAACAAGTAATCTTAGGCAAAGATAACGAGCCCTATGCCATTTATACAGATTTAGGATGGAGCATAGTTGGCAACTCAGCACCGTGCAATGAAACAGACATGACGAGCAGTCTCTGTCATCGAGTCACCATTAAGGAAATCCCACCCTCCACTCCAGCAGATGCAATACGTGCACTGGAAAGAGATTTCAAAGAGACTGATAGGAATGAAAAGACTGTCTCACAAGAGGATTTAGTATTCCTCCACAAACTTGAGCAAGGCATAACACTTACTGAAAATGGACATTACGAAATGCCATTACCGTTTAAAGAAAGGCCAAAAATGCCAGATAACAGACAACTCACTGAAAACAGACTCAACCACCTCAAACGCAAACTCATGAAGGATGAAAAATACAAAGAAGATTACATTAAATACATGAGTGACATCATCACAAGAGGTGATGCTGAAGAGACTGATGATTATGGACCACCCGGTGAGACATGGTACATACCGCACCACGGCATCTATCATCCAAAGAAACCTGAAAAGTTGCGCGTTGTTTTTGACTGTTCTGCAAAGCACAAAGGTACATGTCTAAACGAACATTTACTTAATGGTCCCGACATGATCAACAATCTAACTGGTGTTCTTGTGCGCTTCAGAAAGCATCAAGTAGCTCTCATGTGCGACATTGAAAAAATGTTTCACCAGTTCCAAGTCAAAGAAAATGATCGCAACTACTTGCGCTTCTTATGGTCGAAGGATGGAGACATAAACAGTCAACCACAAGCATACAGGATGACAGTACACCTCTTTGGTGCCGTCTCATCACCTGGCTGTGCAAACTATGGACTAAAATGTTTAGCCAAAGAGAACAGCCTTACATATCCTGTAGGCTCGCAGTTCATAGCCAGAGACTTCTACGTAGATGACGGAGTCACCAGCGTAGAGACAGTTCAAGGTGCTATAAAAATGGCAAAGGAGGCACGTGAACTATGTGAAAAGGGTGGATTAAGGTTGCACAAGTTTGTCTCGAACAATACTGATGTTCTTAACAGTATTCCAAGTTCAGAGCATGCAACAGATACTAAAGCAAAGGACTTAACATTTAATGAAACACAAACAGAAAGGGCACTCGGCATTTATTGGAATGTGGAGAAAGACTGGTTTACATTCAACATCACACTGAAGGATCAACCACCAACCAGGCGTGGCATCTTATCCACGGTCGCAGCAATATATGACCCTCTTGGATTTATAGCTCCATATGTGCTCAAAGGAAAAGGAATTCTCCAAGAGATGTGTCGTCAAGGAATGGACTGGGACGACCCGCTATCTGAACACCTTAAGCCACGGTGGGAGTGCTGGAAAGGAGATCTGAACAATCTGAAAAACATACAAATAAGCAGGTGTTATGTCCCTGCAGATTTCGGAGATGTTGTGAAAAGAGAAATACATCACTTTTCTGATGCAAGTAATACAGGATATGGACAATGTTCTTATTTCAGACTCATAAACAAAAACAAAGATGTTCACTGTACCTTCATCATGGGCAAAGCAAGGGTCTCACCCACAAAGGTCACCACAATACCAAGGTAAGAACTTACTGCGGCAGCCGTGTCAGTCGCTGTAAGCAATATGCTAAAAGAGGAACTGCTCTATGACAGTGTCGAGGAGTTCTTTTGGACAGACTCAAAGGTCACCCTAGGATACATAAATAACGAAGCGAGACGCTTTCACACGTTTGTTGCTAATAGAGTGCAGAAAATACGCAACACTACCACTCCACAACAATGGTTTTATGTGCCTAC